TACCCTCAAACAAAGCAAAAATGAAATCAACGTACCTAAAGTCGATAATCTTCAATTTGTACGTTAATCCGCTTCTTTCTATCTACAACTTTCACAAAAGTCCAAACAAAGTCAAAAAGAAAGAATGAAAACTTCAAAGTGGATACGTACACAATGAAACAAAAAGAATAAAAAAAATTATAAATGAACAAACTTGAGGTCCCCAGAGCCCAACTTCTAGCGAAATTTTTTGGTATTTTGGTAATAATTTGTTAAATTCTCCAAAATAAAAATAAATAAAAAAAAAGCTGGAAGATTCACGACATAAAATACAAAAAAAATACCTGAACTCCAATTTCTTCTGAGATTTCACGGTATTTTGGGAGCGATTTGTTAAATCTTTCAAAAAAACAAAAATCAAGATTTAGCAGCAAAATATGCAACAGAAGAAATTGAAGGTTTAAAGATTGGGTATATAGGTAATTGTCTCAATTGTGCGTGAAGTTGTTGGGTATTTTTAGAACAATCGAGAGAGGGACATTGAAATTAAAGTTAAAGGCTGAGAGAAATCAATATTGTAGCAACGCAGAATAAGAGTGAAATTAGGGTTAAATGCAAAAAATAATTTTGTTTTAAACGAAAAGAATCAAGAAGAATTTTAAATCGAAAAAAAACATTTATTAAAAAAATAAAAGAAAGTTACAAAAATTAAATAAAGAATATATAAATATTATTGAGTTAAAATTGAAAAATTAAGTTTTATTATGAAGAGAAAATAGTAAAAAGGAATTTTAAACTTAAAAAAAAATTTTATTTTTACAAAAAATTAAAAAATAAAGATAATATAAGACATAAAATATTTTACAAAAAGTTACTTATAAGTAAAAAATTTGAAGAGAAAAGAATTAAAAAGAAATTAGAAAAGGAATAGGTCCTTTCGTCTTGCTCTTTCTCCTTATGATTCATTTCCTCATTTTCCAGGTGTTTAATCCATTAATTGTATGCCACCTAAATTAGTGCTTAGCATCAATGATACTAAATAAAATTATTCATTTTTTTTCCAAACTCATTTTCAATTACATAATCTTTCGACAAAATAATTTTAACATGTGAAACCATAATTTTTCTCTATTTTTTAATCACATTTCTTTAAAAAAAAAAAAATCAAATTTTTCATAAAGTTTATTCTGAAAAATCTATATCAAACAAGTCGCATATTAATTGAAGAGTGAACAATCTCGTAATTCAAGTTTATTCATTATAGTCCACCGCGTGAAATTGACGTGTACATTTTCAATTAAAGTTTTGGGATAATGTATTGTTAGTCATGTTGATAATATGGGGATAAATCGCCTTGGAACCGAACCCCAAGAGCCACGAGAAGTTTCATTCAACCTTTCTTACAAAACCAAACCAAGATCCATGCAGTTCATTACTTAAAACTAATGGATGCTGTAGTTGATTGTTAAATGTTACAGCAACCGGGTGTCCAATCTTGCAAAAAAGATTTGTGAAGTAATGCTTCAGTTTAACAGAAATTAACATGCTCGTCATATGTCCATGACACAAAGGCAAATCGTAATAATAATTTCTAGACAAGGAGATCAAGTACTAAATGAAAGTTCTAAGAAAAGTTGGCGAAACAATACTTTGATGTAGAATGACGACATAAATAGCACAAAATCTGAAAATTTCATAGCTATAGAGCTTGTTTGGAAGTAATTTTGAGAATTGATTTTTTGATCGTTAGTGTTAAGAAATATAGAATTATTTATTATTTATTAAGGATAGAATAGTCCTTTTTAGTTTCCTTTGTTTAGCCTATATATATTCTCTTTGTATTTAGGTTAAATCATCTTTTAGCATTCAATTAATTAATGTAGTATCAATGAAACCCTAGCCTCCTCATTTTTCTTTATTTTCTTTGGATTGTTTAACATAGTATCAGAGCCAGATTTCATGAGACAACACTTAATCTCAAACACATTCAATGGTTTTGGAATGTCAGAAATTAGTAGACTACCTTGTTCAAATGATCGCTACGATCAAAGTTTCGATCGGCAGAGGTCACAGTTTCGATCGGAGATCACAGCATCGATCGACGATTGTATAGGTTTTGGAATGTCAGCGAGGCTGCGAGAGTGAGTGCGAGAGTCGAGACAACATTATGCACTTTAGTATAGGTGTTTAGGATTATTTAGTGGATTGGATCTTGTTGAGCTAAGAAATGAAACAATAAAATGGGTAATTGGGTCAAAAATTAAAAAATAGAAATGAAACAAATTATTCGGCCAAAATTTTGGATTTAGAAATTGTTAATTTGTTTAGAAAAAATTAAAATTAAAATAATTTGATTTATTCAATATAAAAGAAAAATTAGAAAAATTCGGTTCTTATTTGGTTCTTCGGTTCTTGGTCTAGAACCGATAACCGAACCGTACCCGTCGGTTCTCAATTCAAATACCCGTTCGGGTATTTAATTTGACAAGAACCGTTAGGTTCGGTTCGGTTCGGGAGATTTGCCCAACCCTAAAAGGAGTAGAGTAAAGGTCGTAGTGCTCAACAGCTTAAGTCAAAAAGTGAAGGAAGTGCCCACGCAAAATTTTCGATGAGTGGAAACAAGCACCAACCTGATAAAGGAATGGGGCTTGTTGAGTAAGGCTGACTTGTTGGGTAATTACCTCAAAAGTCAAAAATTGGAAGACTTCTATTACAAATAATAAAAGATAGTTATTGTGTGGAACACTTTTAATTAAAGTTGAGAGCGAAATCCTTACAGAATTTGGTCTCCAATTTACATTAGGTTTTGAAAACTTACACATGAAGGAATTCTTGTTAAGATAAATGAGTTTTATTTGAGTTTAAATTAAACTCTTCTACTTTGTTATTGATCTTATAAATAGTAAATGTATTTTATTATTTGTGTATGGCTAGAGAGTTTATCTGAGAGAAAAATATCGTGAGCCTAATATTTTCAGACTTTTTGTACATTGGGTAAAAAAGGAGGTGTAGTAAAGTTTGAGATTATTTTTTCTTTATAATACTTGAAAATTAGGTTGGTGTATGAAATTCTATATGATTGTAACAATTTTTCATATAGTAAAAAGTTTTGACGGTCCGTTTAATTTGTGCATTATATTCTTTATTTTTCATTATTTGCTAATATTCTATTTAAACAACAAAAGATCCTGCGGGTAAATAAAAACAAAGGAAAAGTGGCATAAAATACTCAACAGGTGATATCAGAGCGTTAGGTGGTTCAGAGTATTGGAACAATAGAAAAATTTGTCGTCGTTAAATATGATGTGGAGAAATTTGACGGGAGAATCAATTTTGACTTATGGTAATTACAAGTTAAGGATTTATTGATTCAAGTTGGATTGCATAAGGCTTTGAAAAAAAAACCCAACCAAAAGTTCTGACAAAATTGGTAACTCCATGAGGAAGAAAACAACTTGTTGAAGCTGCGGTCAGACTGGTCATGTGAAGAGAAATTGTCCAAAAGGTGGAGCAGGATCGGCTAGCTGCTTGGAATTAGACAATGCGTCTCTCCTAACGGAGGAGGATGCGGATGTGGTGCTGTAAAGTAAAATGAGAACATCATCATGGCATGTTACCACTTGTCATGATAGATGATGTGTTCTTATTGATGCGGGTCAGCATATCTGCAAATAGTATTGACTGACATTTGATGCAAGGTGTATAGGTATGTGGTGGTGTTGTGATATCGATGACTGATGAGCTCTCTTTGAAAGTCAGTGGGAGAATTGCACCATAACTATCAGTAAGGTTGTTTTAATATGTAGCCGATGAAATACTTGGAGTTCGCGAATAATTCTGAGTGGTTATACTCATGTGGTGGAGTATGAGACTGTTAAAGTATGTCAGAGGCTTAACTGTTTTTTTCAAGTATTGTGATTAAAAGCTGTAGAAGAGATGCCAAGATTTTGACTCGTTTGTCGGCAAGGTGGAGATTGTTAGGTAATTGCCTCAAAAATCAAAAATTGGAGGACTTCTATTGCAATTAATAAAATATAGTTATTGTATGGAAGACTTCTAATTAGAGTTGCGGGCAAAATTCTTACAGAATTTGGTCTCCAATTTACATTAGGTTTTAGAGTCTTACACATAAAGGAATCATTGTTAAGTTAAAGGAGTCTTGTTTGAATTTAAATTAAACTCTTCTACTTGGTTATTGATCCTATAAAATAGTGGATGTATTTCATTATTTTGAATGTAGCCAGAGAGTTGATCTTAGAGAAAAATATTGTGAGCCTAGCATTTTGAAACTTTTCGCACATTGGGTAGAAAAGTAGGTGTAGTAAAATTCGCATTTATTTTTTCTTTATAATATTTGGGGATTGAGTTGGTGAGTGAAATTCTACATGATTGTAACAATTTTTCATATAGTGAAAAGTTTTGATAGTCCGTTTAATTTGTGCATTATATTTTTTATTTTTCCTAGTTTGTTAATATACTCTTGATCAATAAAAAATCCTGCGAGTAAATAGAAACAAAGGGAAATTGGCATAAAATTCCCAACACGACTTTCATGCCCAGGTCTACTTTTGCCTAGTAAGATTGAGTTATCTATCTCATACCAAGGCTTTCCCGAGTTTTTAAAATGGGATGCATAATTCTTCAACGGATTATAACAACTGAGAAAGTTACCCTGCAACAAATAATCTGTCTTCTTCAACTTCCCCGTATCAACTTACCCATATTTATCACCAAATGCTTAAAGACAGTCGATGCAAATAAAGACACCAAAAACCCCAACCTTACCAAGAATGATTGATCATGAGAACCTTCCACTCTTCTTTTTCTGAATGCAAACATGTGAAAATGAAATAAAGAAATTGAAATATAAATAAAGTGATGCTTCAAATAACAGCAAACTCATCCCTTCTTCTTCACTCAAGAAAATTATAAACCAATCAATGGATTCACAAATCAAAAGCCACCACTCTATAATGACGATGTGATAGTACCTCTTGTGGGATGGGTACAGAACAAGGAAAATGCCCCCAGAAGTATTCCATTGCCATCCTTTTGTTACTCCACCGATTCCAATCCAGCCCAAATCCAAGCAAATACGAACGCTGCAAAAGAAATATTGTCAAGGAAGGATGAAATTTACGAAAAGGAAGCTCATACCAGTTCTTGTTTTCATTTTAGTGATTGCTTCACTCATCCCACTTCTCAAATTAACGATAATAACTTCATCTCCGTCTCTGCCTTCAGCCGGTTCACTTCTTGTTCGTCAGCAAAAATGTTCGTCATCTTCTTCAATTTGCAGGAATAACATTTCACCATCAAATGCAGATGCCAGTGTTCTTACTGAAAAGGAAAATCGATTTCTATTGGATCTTGTTTCTCGGAGAATTCCCTGCAAAATTCTTGTTTTTGGGCTTGAACCACAATACTTGAGCCTTGCCTCCTTGAATGATGGTGGACTCACCGTCTTCATTGAAGACAATCCCGAGAAAATAAGCACTATGAAATCTTTAAACAAGACTCGAATTTACAAAGTCGAGTACCAGACTATTGCTGCTGAAGCATTCAAGCTACTCAAACATGCCAGAGAAAATCCAGATTGTGCACCTAAATTTCAACTGCCCAAATTGTCAAGGTGCAAACTGGCATTAACTAATCTCCCAGAAGAAGTTTACAATACAAAGTGGGACGTGGTGTTGGTGGACGGACCGCAAGGGGACACACCAGATTCCCCGGGGAGAATGGTGGCCATCTACACCGCTAGTATACTAGCACGAAAAGGAAATGTGACCGACATTTTAGTACATGATGTAGATAGAATGATCGAGAAGTGGTTCTCGTGGGAATTCTTGTGTGAAGAGAACTTGGTTTCTTCGAAGGGAAGATTTTGGAATTTTGGAATACTCAGGGAACCTAATGCTACTAAGTTTTGCACCATATAAACATACCAATGCCACTTCCCAAACTCCCATATTCACAAGTGTTGCTACTTGATAATATTTTCTTTGGAAGTATCAAAACAAGCTTAAGAACTACGACAAATACTGCAGTCCTACCTCTAGTTCCAGACATACCCAGAAAATTTTGATTAGAAATATGACCATTTTCTTGGATGCTCGTCAGGTCAAAGGAGGATGATTGAATATAGGAACTTTCGTATATTTGGCAATTTTAAATGTGTCAACACCAATATTGAGTGCAATGGGCTAATCGAGACTCGATTTGTCAGATCTGGAATTTGCTCGTGTGATTAATTCTATAGTAGTTTAACTGTCTAGTAGTTAGTAGATAAAAAATATCACATTACTTGAACAAGATAAAAAGGTTGATGGTAATAGACGGATTGATGAATGATGAGACATTTGACACAAAATTTTATTTTTAAATGAATGAAAATTTATTTTTTCTTTATTTTTTTTTTTTCAAGGTGTCCGCTTTCGACGACTATTCCTTGGGTCTGTGATCTGGCCCCTTTTCACACAGACCAGTTAAATCACGGGATGTGTCTCCAACTGACCAGGGTCCGAGCACCTCTCCAAAGGACTGCCAAAGTGCCTAGTGAGTCAACTCATGTTGCGCCTTGCTTTCCAAGCAAATTTATTTTTTCTTTCTGAGTATAGAGTTGGTGTCTATTGTACCTCACTGGACCGCATTAAGAGATCTGCTAATAATATTATAGTTATATAATATATAATCAGAAACGGATGCCAATAGTCGATATGTCCGAGTGGTTAAGGAGACAGACTTGAAATCTGTTGGGCTTCGCCCGCGCAGGTTCGAACCCTGCTGTCGACGATTCAATTATTTTTTATTTTCTTTTCCATTTTTGCTTACTCTTTTTTGGGTAAAAACTAAGAAGGGAAAATTACAGAGAGTAACAATTAGTTTCTAATTAAAGTTACATCATAGTTTAAGTGCTTATCACATTTGACGTTCACAAATAAAATAAGGAAGACAGGGTTCAAACCGTATTATCTACTTCAAAAATTATTTTATTATTTCATTATCATCTTTTCCCAGATACAGAGCTATATAAAAGCACTCAATCCTTCTGATTCGGCTGTTCGATTTATGATTTATCATTCATGGATGTTGAAAATTTTCTTATTTTATTTTCTTGTACATAGTGTCCATGCAAACGAATTTTTTTTCCAATGTGCTAAATTTGACATTAAGGCTTAAGTAGATTTTTACGTGTTTTTCTCTATTGCTGTCCAATGAGTTAGATAACCCAACAAGGCATTACGGTATAACAAGAGTAGTTCCATTTAAGAATCGCACACTTAATACTCCATCCCAGAGATGCACTATACATTATAGTTTCATTATAATC